TTTTGAGGACCTTTGATTCTGGTATTGACGATTCGACTAGTAGTGTAGCGTCGGAGAATCGAGTCATTAAACCATTTAATTCTTTTTTCTTTGGTTTCTTCAGACTCAGATTGTGGGACCAAGGTGTGAGATATGTTGGCTTCCTCAAATTGCTTTTAAAGAGCAATTGAGTTGGCCGCATCCTCAGAAGAAATACCTAGGAGCTGAAGATCAGTTTCTTGAGGAAGTGAAGCTTTAAGCACAAGTCTGTCGGCTGCAGGGACTTCAGATTGATGTCTAGCAGATTTAGCTGCTTTAGCTGCAGCAGCTTCTTCATCTGTGGTCATCGGTGCCTTTCCTTCTCTATGAGTTGGGACTAAGTCCCCAGAAGTAGTGAGAACATCATCTTGAGAAGGGATAGTACCAACCTCAACAGATACTGAAGGCATAGAACATGGTTGCTCCCCCTCAACAGTTGTTGTGGCTCTATCATCATGAACTAGTAGCTCCCCCTCAATAGGAGCATCACCATCTGACTCGGTTGAGGATGAAGAAGTAGAAGAAGTAGAAGAAGAGTCGTCATCCCCGTTGACACTGGTAGCAGGATCAACTGTCTTCTCCCCCTTAGTGGTAACAGGGGAAGGCCCAGCAGCAGCTTCAGAAGGACCCTCCACGTCGGCAGGTGGGGAAGGCACATAAGCAGTAGCACGAGGATAAGGAGCACATGTGGCACGAAGCAGACGTGAGACACCGCGATGAAGACCGCCAAGAAGATCATAATCAGACTCAACACGGCGACTGAGTTTGGCTAACATGACTCTGTCCTCTTCCGTGAACTGAGTAGGACCCAAGTCAACAGTGAACTCTGTATCTCTGGCTAAGAACAATTTGGATATCTGAGTCTGGGCATCCATCTTGGAGTGAAGATCAGCCAGGGATTGAAGAATTGCCTCATTAATGGCAGCCTGACTATCCAACTGAGCACGAAGATCAGCGACAGCATCAGATATACTGGATTGAGAATCAGATATAGCTGCCATACGAGCATCCAAAGAATCAACCGTAGCTTGAAGAGTAGAGAAGGCAGTGCCATGAGCTGTCAAGGCGGCACTGTGGTGATGCAGTTCAGAGGTAACACAGTCCAACTTCCCAGATAAATCCGTGTCGAGGGTGGCCTGTTGAGAGATGAGCAACTGACATTGAGAGGTGAAGCCTCTCAACATGTCCACCACTTCAGTGGGTAAGGCATAAATCATCTCAGGAGGAGAAGGAGCTGAGAACTGGAAGCCTGGTGCAGAGGGGGGCCTTGATGGAGAAGCAGCAGCTGGAGTAGGAGAGCAAGCTTTGATTGGGCTTGCTGACCCAACTGGTGAAGAAACACCAACACTCTCAGTACCATCGGCGCCCTGAGAGTCACCGATGGGAGTATCACTGATGTTGGCGTGAGGCTCAACATCTGTATCAACGATATCAGCGTGAGGCTCGGTATCTGTATCAGCAACACTGGCGAGAGGCTCAGTGTCTATATCACCAACACCGGCGAGAGGCTCGGTGTCTGTATCATCGACGCCTGCGTGAGGCGGGTCGCCGATTACCACAGTAGTAGATGTAGTAGGCAGGTAAGGCTTACTATCTACATCCATAAGAATAAACTGGAGATAAGGGATGTCAGTATCAGACAAGGCTGATAAATCATCCATCCGTGCTATATCATCAAGATCATCGATCTTGGGTGATAGGCCGTGAATAAGTGGAGGAGAAGAGGGACCTCGGAAAGGGGAGGAGTCCGAGTCATCACCAAAGTCATATAGAGATGCCAAGGTGGAGTCAAGTGGGTTCCCCGTATGTACAACAGTGTCCTGTTGAGAGGGCACTGATGAGCTAGGGGGGAGTAAAGCAGATGTCCTGG